GGGCAAGACAGAGGCCACCTTGAGCAGGGCATTGGCCTGAATCTCTGGACTCAGACATGTGTGGCTGGACAGTGTATCACATTCACTTTGAGACAGCACAGGATTAGCAGCTGAAATAAGAGCTACGCTGAACCTTGGGAAGATTTCAAAAGCTCTGGCAGAATTCATATAAAAATTTTCTTTTTTGTAGGAACAGATAAGATTATGACCAGTGTTGCTGATCTTCATATGCCAAACAAGGTTGCTGTACTTTCCCCATAAAATAGCCACACTGGAGAGAAATGAGGAACCTCCACACACTCCTTGCTTAGAGCCCCTTAGCTTTGAATCCCAGCTTGTTGGTTCTTTCAATACCCATCTCTACAAGTCCACCGGGGAGACCTTGTTTATTACCTTTGATCCCAAATAAGGCAAAGGGACTGCAGACATTAAGCCACAAGGGCAAGGAACTCTTTCTTCTGGACCATTTGGACAACTAAAGAGTCACGCTCTGAGGCACAGGGCTGACAGTAAAGGACCATGCTAGAATTAGGTGTGGGAATTAGAGCAGGAAATAAAAGAGACCAAGTTGCTCTCTTATGGAGCTAGGGAGCTAAGCTCTATGGAGCTGTCTTATGAATAAAAATGGCTTATTAGGTCTCAGGCACTGTTCTGAGTACTTTCCATATATTAACCCTTCTGGCTTCACACTCATCCTCAACTTATTATCATTCCTGTATAACAAATGGGGAAACTCAGGCATAACAAATGGGGAAGTTAAGTGACTTGCCCAAGGTCACATAGCTAGCAAATGGCAACTTAGTATTTCAACCCAGTGCACATCAGTGCATCTCACACTTCAAAGTGCATATGATTCACTCAAGAAATTTGGGTTTAAAAGCAGATTCTGATCCAGTAGATCTGGGTTGGGGCCCCTGCAATCCTATAGTTCTGACAAGTTCTCAGGTAACATTGATGCTGGTGGTCAGTGGACCACACTTAGAGTAGTAAGGCTCTGGACCATGATGGGCATCACTGATCTCCTGAAATCTAAGGTCCTCAGAGGTCCATTTTCCTTTTGGTATTGTCTTTAATAAGACTCTGTGGTTATCCTAACCTAGGCTCAATTCGTTGAAGATGAAAACTTCTTCAAGCTAATTCAGGAGAGAGGTGGGGATGGTTTAAGGATATAGAGCTGATTGAATGCAAGGTTAGAAAATGACACATCAGCCTCTTGGTACCCAGAATGTCATCAAGATCAAGTTCTCTATCCTCTACCTTCCTTTTGCAGGTTCTGCCCCTGCTCCATTTGCTTTCCTGTTTTCCAAAACGGCTGCCCACCCGAGAGTCTATAGACTTTTTCAACCCCAGGATCTACAACAACCATATGTTCTCTGTTTAAATTCTTGAAGGGGGAATCTGATCAGTTGCTCTGACAGTGAGTAGGTTATACGGCCTGTGGGTGGGGCAAATTAAGCAGGAAGGATGTTAGACAAATTGTCTGACATATCTAGTAATGCATGAAAGACCAAATGTCCACTAAGAGTTCATTCCTGGATGTCCAGTTTGCTTTCTTTCAGGGGCTATCAAAAAGAAGTAGATCATTTATTTACTGGACACCTACCAGCTGCCAGGCAGTGTGCCCCAAGATGGTGGTATGGAGGTATCACCTTTTTGGTTTTCGTTTTTGAGGAATTTAGGATCTACAGGGAGGGGAGTTGTTTCCCATAGGACAAAACCTTCCTTCTGAGAACAATTAGAAAAGCTGAAAAAGTAGTCTGCATTTCAGTTTTCTTAATTAATTAGGATTTTTTTCCTAAATTTATTTTTATTTATATTTCATAGATATGTTTGCGTGACATAATTACACAATTACATATGTGCCTGTGTATTTCAGCTTTCCTAATTGTTCTCTGAAGAACACATAGATTGACTGCAGAGAAGAACAGTAAAGGAGCCTAATTGTGTCAGAGTCATTTATAAGAAATTCAACCATTCTTATGCAGTGCTTGACTGCAAGGAGATCCAACCAGTCCATCCTAAAGGAAATCAGTCCTGAATATTCACTGAAAGAACTGATGCTGAAGCTGAAGCTCCAATACTTTGGCCACCTAATGCAAAGAACTGATTCATTGGAAAAGACCCGATGCTGGGAAAGATTGAAGGCAGGAGGAGATGGGGACGACAGAGATGAGATGGTTGGTTGGCATCACCAACTTGATGGACATGAGTTTGAGTAAGCTCCGGGAGTTCATGATGGACAGGGAGGCCTGGCGTGCGGCAGTCCATGGGGTTCCAAAGATTTGGACATGACTGAGCGACTGAACGGAACTATGCAGTGCTTGTTTAGAAAAGTTATTCTGAAAGTGACGATCAGGTTGTTTATGAGGCAACAGCTTTTGGCAATTCTAACTGTGAGATGAAAATTGGAAGGTCTATGATAATTACTTGAGGCTTTCTATTGGGGATCCTTGAAGTAAGGCAAACCAGAAATAGACCATATCCTATAAAAACTGAAACTCAGCTTCTCAACAGTTCATACTCTCATTGGATTAGGTGAGCATCCTCCTACTCTTAATTTCCTATGAGGAAAATAAAATTTCATCTAGAGTCTCCATGACTTTCCATATACAATATCTGGCTTTTGAGTTAAAAAATTATCAGTCACATCAAGGGACAAGATCAAAATCAAAAACAGATAATAGGGAACACTCTTGCATTGCTGGTGGGAGTGTAAACTAATACAGTCACCATGGAAGATGGTATGGAGATTCCTTAAAAAGCTAGGAATAAAACTACCATATGACCCAGTAATCCCACTCCTAGGCATATACCCTGAGGAAACCAAAATTGAAAAAGATACATGTACCCTGATGCTCATTGCAGCGCTATTTACAATAGCTAGAACATGGAAGCAACCTAGATGTCCATTGACAGATGGATGGATAAAGAAACTGTGGTACATAATATACAATGAAATACTACTCAGGCATAAAAAGGAACACATTTAAATCAGTTCTAATGAGGTGGATGAACCTAGAGCCTATAATAGAGAGTGAAGTAAGTCAGAAAGAGAAATAATAAATATGGTGTACTGACACATATATATATGAAATCTAAAAAGATGGCTCTGATGAATTTATTTTCAGGGCAGCAGTGGAGAAACAGACATAGAGAACAGACCTATGGACATGGGAGAGGGGAGGAGGGAGGGGGGTGGTATGGAGAGAGTAACGTGGAAATTTACAATGTAAAATAGATAGCAAATGGGAATTTGCTATATGACTCAGGGAACTCAAACAGGGGCTCTGTGATAGGCTGAAGGGTGGGAGGGGGAGGGAGATGGGAGGGAAATTCGAGAGGGAGGGGACATGAGTGTACCTATGGTTGATTCTTGTTGATGTATGACAGAAGACAACAAAACTCTGTAAAGCAATTATCCTTCAGTTAAAAAGTTAAAAAATAAATATGTAAGTAAATAACAATTTAAACAGTCTTAAAGAAAAACAGACCATAGAAATAAGCTTACAGGTGATGCAGATGTGAAAGTTATCAGGCATGTATATAAAATAATACAATTAATATGGTTGAAAAATTAGATGACATGCTGGAGAAATTCATCAGAGAGCCTAGGCTTTATCAAAAAAAGAATTAAGTGAATGATCTATAACTGAAAAAAAAAATACCATAAATGAAATGTTAAGCTTAATAGATGGGTTTAAGAGCAGCTTAGACACAGGTGAAGAGAAGATTAGTGATCTGTGTGGTAGATCAATAGGAAATACCCATCCAAGACCTGGAGAAAAATAAAGATGGAAAATTCAGATTTGGAACCCACGGCAATAATAATATAAAAGTTTGAGGGAGGAGCAATAAATACAGTTAAAATTTTAGACCATCCCTGCCATATTCCTTTCCTCTCATATTAATTCAATTTTTATTCCAACCCCCTTTGTCTTTTTATTTGGGTCCTAGATTCTCTTCTCTAGAACTCTTCAATGCAGTAACCAATGACCACATATAACTATTTAAACTTAAATTAATTAAATTGAAATACCATTACAAATTCAGCTCCTTAGTCCCATACAGACACATCACGTTTCACATGCTCAACAAACGTGCAGTGGCAGCTCTGTATGCGGTGCAGGCACTGAACGTTTCCCTCATCTCAGAAAGTTCTCACAGACAGTGCTCTCATCCCCTGACATTTATACTTCTCCATTAGGTTAATTTTTAGATTACCCCTGTACATGGAAACTTTCCATGGTTCTAGACTCTTTAGTATTACATTCAAGGTTTGAAAAAGTAGTGAACGTGTTAGTTGCCCAGTCATGTCCAACTCTTTGCAACCACATGGACTATAGCTCGCCAGGCTCCTCTGTCCATGGAATTCTCCAGGCAAGAATACTGGAGTGGGTAGCCATTCCCTTCTCCAGGGGATCTTCGCGACACAGGAATCGAACCCAGGTCTCCTGCATTACAGGCATATTCTTTACCGTCTGAGCCAGCAGGGAAGTCCTGTAACTCCATTGTGTTTCCTGATGATTGAAAGCAGGCACAGTGAATTCAGTGCTTAACCGCTGACTGAAAGCAGACAAAATAATCTCAAAATCAGATGCATGCTGCTGTGTGACTGTCTTACACAGAGAACGGTGCTCAGAGCGCCGACCTGAGTCATCAGAAGACCTCAGGCTTCTCTAGAGATACTCAGCAAGTGCACTACATTTTGGGAAGATGTAGTAAGTATTAATATATGGGGTGAGTAGGTCTTCTTCCGAACTGAAGACCAAAAACTTAATTCCCTTCTCTGGTCTCTTACTTATTATATGTAAGTCATTGCACCTTCCCCTGGCATGTGAGTTGTGACAATTAAATGTGGTATTTGCAAATGTGAAAATTACTTTATAAATGTAAGTGCCATGTACCCCATATGATATAATCTTTTGGACTGAGATGGGCCAGGTTCATAAACTACTTCACTTCATGCTATGCAGTTTCGTTTTTTTTTTTTTGTCTTATAGTGATTTCCCTCAAATCTTCTGAAGATTCATCCTTTGAGAAAAAGAAAGAGACCTGGGCATTTTTTGAAGGTAATTCTTACTTATTTCTTTATTATAAGATGCAGCCTCACTTTTAGATAATAGGAAATGAATAGAATAAGAAGAAAGGACCCTGACTTCTTAGTTTTTTCCTAACATCAAATGGTTTTCTTGCTTTAAACATAGTCAGGAATAGGATGGAAATCCCTGGAGGTATCAGTCCACAGATTTTGAAAGAACAGAGTTGAAAGCTCCAATCTGCATAATTTGGTTTTTCTTAATTTGGTGTTTGTTTTTCTTCAAGATTCCTACTCCTACGTGACATTAAGGAGAGACCTGTAAGTGATATAAAAAGGCAAATTACATCTACTGTGACTAATTTTATCTCAGGTTTCTTAAGAGTTTGGGATTCTGGAAACATTTGTAAACCTTAAGCCAGTGATTTTCAACCCATGTTAGAGTAACCTGGGAGCTTTAAAAACACTGTTGCCTGAACCACATCTCTAGAGATTTTGATTAAGTTGAAACTTGTTAGAAGTTCTTTACAAGATGCCAGCCTGCAGCCATGGCCCTAAAGAGATGTTTCCCAAAACTGGTTCCAGACCAGCAGCATCAACATCACATCAGCATCAGCACACTTGGTAGGGAGGCTGTTATAAATGCACTGTGTTCTGTGCCACCCATGCTTATGGAATCAGAGTCTCTGGTGGCGTTACCCCGAGAAACCTAGGTTTTGTATACTCAGACTGGAGCTTTAGATCAGTGATTCTCAATAGGAGGTAATTTTGTCCCTCTAGGGTACATTTTCCAATGTCTGGGTACAGTTTTGGTTGCCACAATAACATTTTGGTGCTACTGGAATCTATTGGGTCTTACAATGCACAGGTCAGCCCTGACAGCAAAGAATTATCTGGCCCCAAAATTCAAGAGTGCCAAGGTTGAGAAAGTATATGGCCTTAGAGTATGGACAACTCACAGAAATTATTGTATAGTGGTTGAAGAGTATGACCATAAGCAATGAAAGAATGTACTTTGTGAGTTCTCAGGCAGAACCTTTGATGAGTTTAAAAAAAAACAACACAGATTAATGTTAAGGTGTGATCAGGAAATTGTGAAGGATTACATCTTGTGAAGGCATTGCATTTTTTGATGATGCATGAACCTTGCGAAAAGAATCTAAGGAGACTTGTGTTCCTTGGGGCTTCACCATCACCTTTTGTTAATTCAGTGGATATGAGAACAAGCTCATGGGAGAGTGCACTTGGATTCAAACCTACCTCTTCCAATAGCTAGTTAATAACAGTGGCTTGAGGAACTGTCTCCCTAAGAAAAATGTAACCATAATTATGAACCTGGTTTGCAAGCCATAAAGTGTCACTCAGGTAGGCCATTAGGATTGTTTCATTTTGAAGTCATAAATATTGCATTTCTCAGGTTACACTTTACTGTAACAGTGATTCTTTGTATTCCATGCCTTTTCTTCTGCACATTTTGTAGATGGCTTTTTCTGTATTTAATGATCTTCTCCAAGTAAAATAATCCGCAGTTCCCTCCTTTAGCCTTTCGTTCAGTGAATGCCTATTTGTTAGCAAAGAGCTGTGTGACTTTCATCCTCACAGAGTGAAGCAGTAGAAAAAGGAATTGATGTGCCCATATTCTGAGGCTGCCTGTAACCCAGGCACTGGGAAGGGGGGGCGTCTGGAGTTACCCTGGGGGCTCTCTAAGATAGGTCACTGGCAGACGTGACAGTAGGAGCCCTGTGTATCATCAGATGCATAAGGATATCTTGGGGGGTGTTGTTAGTAACCCAGACTTTGGGTTGCCCCCCACTCCCACCCCTGCCAAGAATCTGATTATTACATTTAGGAAGAGATCAAAGAATTTGCACTTCATCAGGGCTTGAGGTGTTTTTGGTGCAAGTGATCTGAGGACTGTTTGAAAATACTATGGCCCCAAACCCAAGACTTTATATATTTGGAGAGACTGTAGCATTTAAAGTCTGTACACACACACCTTGCTGCACAATCCGAATCTCTAAAACATTTTGTATAATTAATGATTACTTTTTAGTTCATGTGTAGCTATGGAATACCAGGGTTACTCTCAGTCTAACTCTAACAAAATCTATAACTCATGGTGCACTGTCTTCTCCACACAGAGAATTCGGTTTCTACAGAAAAGCAGGACTGGAATTCTCAGTGTATATCCTGCCTCAGAGCAGCTGTGTCCAAGGCGCTCTTTCCCTGTGATTTCGGCAGCAGCAGCATCTGTGGGTTTTGCTTTTTTAGTCCAGCCACAGTGTTGACGAGGTCAGGGGTACAGTTGAAACTTGCTGGTGTCTGATCCCAGGCCTTTGCCCTTTTGTTTCTGCATGGGAGAGCAGCGGCAGCGCTTGAGGACGGATATCTGTCCTCCTGGGACTCAGCTCAGCCTGGCTGCATGCCTGCACCACAAAAAAAGCATTGTCAGGCCTCTTGGTGAGATGCTGGAGTAAGTTAAAATTCCTCTGGGCTATAGCTCAGGTATTTCTCCCCAAGCACGATATTATTACTGGCTGGGTAAAAACATGAGTAGAAGTACCTGGTTTTCTCCCCAGAACTGCAAAATAGGGATTTGTACTTGCCCTGGAAATATAGAGGATGGACATTAATTTTCTGGATTCAATGGCCGGGGGGGAGTTGAGCTCCTTCCCTGTGCTGAGGAATGCTGGGGTCACTGGGTTTCAAAGCAGTGCTGAATACTCCACCCAGGCTCATGGTTGCCCGGCAACAGGTGCGCAGGTTGCCTTTCATGGGGACTGCTCTGCCTGGCCTGGCCTGGTGTGGCCTGGCTTTCTGAACGGATGGGAGCTGGCATGCAGACACACTTTGCACCACATCTTGGCTTCCCTGCCGCGTGCACATCACTCCCGCCCGCCGGCCCCACCATCTGCTTCAGGGAGGCCTGGGCTAGGGGCGGTGGGGAGACAACTTTCTGCATGGCAGCTTGCAATTGAATCTAACAAAGACGTTGGTGTCTTTGGAAGTCCAGCAGCAGAGGATGAAACTGCAAGTGATTTCGGAGAACATAGCAAGATTTTTAGAATTATTTTGAGTGTTCAGGTGTATGTGGTATTTGAAAAGCTAAGCCTGGATTTCGTTAAGTGTAGATGTTTTGTTCAGCTTGAACCTGAAGGTGAGGATTCAGCCTCCGGACAAGCATTGTTTGGCCTGGCCCGAGTTTTACAACCTGTGAGCTAACATTTATAATGAGAGAGGCGTTTATATAAAAGGAAAAGGTGAAAGACCGGGCAACTTTGGGCCAATATCCAGCCTGAGAACGGCATCTGGAGCCCTACTGTGGCACCCGGGGAACACTTTGGCTCTAGCTTGCTGGCAAAAACTATCCTGGAGTCTTAGCCACTTGTGCTGGCGTTTCGGATGGCTCAGGGTTTAACCTTTGTTTTCCGAGAAAGACAGGGGAAGTGGTTTTAGTGTTCTGAGTAGTTCCAGCAGGGAGATTGCCTTTATGTAGCAAAGGAAGGCTTGAAAACAGAGGGAAAAACCAGCAACCTGGGGTGCTACCCAATCCAGGGAAACCTCAGGTGTTCTTGAGCTTTTTGTCCTCCTACAAGGTGATATTGTTTAATGTTCCTGTGGCTTTGAGAATACAATAGAGCAGGCATGATCCGTGCTAAGCCTGTGGGGACCCACGTGAGGGTGGCTGGTGCCTGCTGGCCAGTGTCCACAGCCCGGAGGGCCTGTGTGCTTGGCGGTGCAGCTGAGCCTTCCGGACTGGCCAGATGTTTTATGACTCTGTAGCCGTGGCTGCCTGTGGAGAGCCCCTCTGTACACGTTGAGGAGGCTGTGATCTGAAACTGTCATGTGGGCCTCCTGGAGCCCTTTGCCTCCTGCCTGAGAGTGTGCCACAGATGTCTGCAGTAGGTTTGGGGGAACACTGGTGGGAGAGTCTCCCTGCGACCTCATCCCTCTTTGATTCCTGCAGTCCTGAAACCAGAGATGCCATCTGATAAAGAGGGGAACTCGTGACTCAGGTCGCTGTGCTCCATCGACACAGAAACATAAGGAAGAGAGTTCTTCTCTCCATTCCAATCCTGAAGCCCAATTGCCATTGCCTTTTGCTCCCGGGGCCCGAGTCTCCGGAATCCTTTTGAGACAGGTGCTGCACCCACCTGCCCGCGTTCTGTCTGCCTGGCACTTTGACTGCATTTGTTTCCCAGCCTCTAGAGCCAGAAATGGCTCTGTAGTCCTGTTCCCGGAATAGTTTGCTCAACAGTGTGTGAATCCAGGACTGGCCATATGTTATTCGTGTTCTGGCCTGTCCTGTATCCTGTCATGAGTCCCAGGCTGTGACCTCTGCTCTCTCCCTTGGAATTCCGTGTTAAATGGAAGCCCAAGCTTGTCCCCCTAACTGCCCACTTGCAGAGTTCTCTACTGAATTAAGCTGCAAAGCCCAAACATCTGAGACACAGGCATCTCTTTAGAAAGGCAGGTTTGATCTCACTTACAGGAGACAGTTTTTTCTGTGTCTGTCTCAGTCTCCTTATACCCCACTCGCTCCTTGACTCCAGTTATCTGGCTCGGTCCCCACCATCCTACTAAAGGGGCTTTCCTCCAGGACTTCTCCAGTAACTTCCTAGTGGGAAAACCCGAGGGTGGTTTCCAAGAGCACTGGATGCTTTTGGGGAAGCTTTCTTACGACATTCTACTCTCTTGGCTTCTACAGCTCTCACTTGCTCCTCCTCAACTCCTGCGCCTGGCTCCCGCTCCATTTGTAGGATACTCTCTCTCTCGCACTCACCTGCCCTTCTTCCTAAATATTAGTGTAAGTGCTCCCTTCCCCAGCAACCTTGTCCTGCTGTTCTTTCTGTTGACTGAACCCAGGTCTCCTGTATTGCCAGCAGATTCTTTACCCTCTGAGCCACCAGGAAAGCCCCTTTCTATTGACACTTAGCTTATTTTTTAGTCTAGGCTTCGAAGTTGCCTTCTAAGACGCTAACTCAAGCTAGCTTAGGTGAATATTCTGGCTGAGCCTGAGACCAAGGGAGGCTCTCCAGGGATGGGACTACCTAGGGCCTCCTGGGGACCCTGAGATGTGTAATTCTGTCCCATTTCCCCTTCTTTCTCCTGACCATAACCTTATCTGCTTCTCCAGACTTCCCTGCAAGCCAGCCACTCCAGGAGGCTTACTGCTTGCTTTTTCAGCTTCAGCACTTAACCAGCTGCTTCTCCATGTCCTAATAGCTTTATAAATGTGCATTCTTGCCAACTCAGCAATTCCACGTCCAGGAACTTAAATCTTGAGAACACAATGTGAGAGTCATTAAGTTTTAAGGTTATGAATACTCATCTTAGAATCATTTCTTATAAGGAAGTTAGGAACACTTTGAGTAGCCAATGATAAGATACTAAGTCACTCATGATGATGTATAAATGGCAAAAACTTTTATCATATTTTTCAAAATTAAAATAACTTTTTGAAGAGACCCTAATGAGAAAATGAGATAAAATAAAAAGCAAGGTATAAAACAGTTATGATCTTAAAACTATATGCATATACATCATAAAGTGTAGCACCTCAGTGTGATGGATGGCTGATGATTTGTTTCTCTCTTTCTTTTTCTGCTTTTATTCTCTCTCTGCATTTTTGCATTTTCTGTGTTATTTTAACTACAGCTTACCACAGCGGTCCAGTCTTCTGGGAAGCCCCTCCAAACCTCCCCAAGCTGGATGGGTCCCTCCTCTGTGTGTTTCTGGTATTGGGCATATATTTCTGTGGTTCGGGTACCATGTAGCCCTCTGATTTCTCGACGAGAAGACATTTGGATATTCATGATTATATCTCTTGTACTTAGGAGCAGGCTGAATATCAGTTCAGTTCAGTCACTCAGTCGTATTGTCTCTTTGCAACCCCATGGACTGCAGCACACCAGGTCTCCCTGTCCATCACCAATTCCTGGAACTTTCTCAGACCCATGCCCATCGAGTCAGTGATGCCATCTAACCATCTCATCTTCTGTTGTCCCCTTCTCCTCCTGCCTTCAATCTTTCCCAGCATCAGGTCTTTCCCAATGAGTCAGTTCTTTGCATCAGGTGGCCAAATTATTGGAGCTTCAGCATCAGTCCTTCCAATGAACATTCAGGACTGATTTCCTTTAGAATTAACTGGTTTGATCTCCTTGCTGTCCAAGGGACTCTCAAGAGTCTTCTCTAATACCACAGTTCAAAAGCATCAATTCTTCAGCACTCAGCTTTCCTTATGGTCCAACTCTCACATCCATACATGACTACTGGAAAAGCCATAGCTTTGACTATAAGGACCTTTGTTGGTAAAGTAATGTCATTGCTTTTTAATATGCTGTCTAGGTTTGTCATGGCTTTTCTTCCATGGAGCAAGCATCTTTTAATTTCATGGCTACAGTCACCATCTGCCCATCTGCAGTGATTTTGGAACCCAAGAAAGTAAAGTCTGTCACTGTTTCCATTGTTTCCCATCTATTTGCCATGAAGTGATGGGACCAGATGCCATGATCTTAGGTTTTTGAATGTTGAGTTTTAAGCCAGCTTTGTCATTCTCCTCTTTTACTTTCATCAAGAGGCTCTTTATTTCCTCTTCACTTTCTGCCATAAGGGTGGTGTCATTTATGTATCTGAGGTTATTGATATTTCTCCCTGCAATCTTGATTCCAGCTTGATTCTGATCTTGATTCCAGGCTGAATATGTCTGTTGGCTAAAAACATTCAAGTCAGCAGAGAAGCATTTTTAATAAGTTCAAACATTTACTAAGTTTGAATATCTGCAGCTTTTTGCTTTGTGAGCTTTCCTGGTAGCTCAGATGGTAAAGAAGCTGCCTGCAGTGTGGAAGACTGGGGTTCGATCCCTGAGTTGGGAAGATCTCCTGGAGAAGGAAATTGCAACCTGTTCCAGTATTCTTGCCTGGGAAATCCCATGAACAGGGGAGCCTGGTGGGCTACAGTCCATGGGGTTGCAAAAGTTGGACATGACTTAGCAACTAAACCACCACCACCACCAAACTTACTGATCGGTTTGGAAAAATTGACATCACAAAATGTGGAGACATATAATTCATAAACATGTTATATCTTGCCATTTATTTAGGTCTTCTTTAATTTCTTTCAGCAACTCACTCCAGTATTCCTGCCTGGGAAATCCCATGGACAGAGGGGTCTGTAGAAAAGACCGGACATGAGTCGGACATGACTGAGCGACTAACACTTTCATTTTCACTTTATTTCTGCTTCGTACAAGCTTTAGATAATGCTTCCGGTTTCCCTTTCAATTTCTGGGCAGTTTGGGCATTTTATCAATCAGATTGATGAATAAGTTGATCACTGGAGTTTAAGAAATGATTGTATATACTGTTATGGGCTGAATGTTTGTGTCCCTAAAATCTGTATATTGAAATCCTAACCCTTAATGTGATGGTATCAGGAGGGAGGTAGGGATTTCGGGGGGGAGGGGGCGCTGGGGGGTGATGAGGTCATGAGCATTGAGCCCTCATGAATGGGATTAGTGTCTTTATTTGAAGGGACCTGTGAGAGCTTACTTGCTGTCTGTTCTCCTCCACATGAGGATACCAGGAGAAGACATCTCTAACCAGGAAGAGAGTCCTTATCAGACACTGGACTTGCCAGTGCCTTGATCTTGGGTTTTCTAGTCGCTGGAACAGTTAGAAATAAATTTTTGTCATCTAATTCACCTGGTCTTTGGTATTTTGTCATAGCAGCCTGGTTTAAGATAGATATGAACATGATTTAATCTTTGGACTGTAAAGCAAACTTATTTTGAGATATTTGTAGATTGACGTATATTTCTAATAAGTAATACAGAGAGATTCCTTGTACCAGTTTCACCCTTTTATCCAGTTTCTCTCAAGGCATCATCTGGAAAAACTGCAGTATAACATTGTAACCAGGATATTGACACTGATACAGCTCAGATATAGAATATTCACTACGAGTCTCCCTGATAGCAAGACCCATTTTTTTCCCACCCATTCCCTCCTTAACCCCTGGCAACCACTAATCTGTTCTCCATTGCTACCATTTTTGTCACTCCAAAAAGCTTTGTGTAAATAAAATCATACAGTATGTAATTTGGGGGGATTCTTTTCTCACTTAGTATAGCTCTGTGCTAAGAGTTGTTCCCTTTTATCACTGAGAAGTGTTTCATGGTATAGATGGAGCACTGTTTAACCATTCACCCATAGAAGAACATCTGGGTTGTTTCCAATTTGGGGCTATTATGAATAAAACTGCTATAAACATACACAGCCAGGTTTTTGTGTGAACTTAAGTTTTCATTACTCTGAACAAATACCCCCAGAAAGCGATTGCTGAGTTGCATGGTAGTTGTTGGTGTGTCCTTTTAGAAACCACCAAACTGTTTTCAGAAGTGGCTGTACCATTTTACATTCTCACCAGCAAGGTCTGAGTGACCCAGTTTGTTCATATCCTTGTCCGCGTCTATTATCATCCTAGCTTTATTTTGGTTATTCTGATAGGTGTATGGGTTATCTCATTCTTCATATGGATACTTATAGAACACAAGTTTTAAATTTTGATGAAATCCAATTTAATAAGTGTTCCTTATTTGTGTAATGCTTTGGTGTTAAGTCTAAAAATTCTCTGCTTAGTTCTTGATCTCAAAGATTTTTCTTCCCTTTTTCCAGAAGTCTTCTTGTGTCTACTTTACATTTAGGCATATAGTTTATTTTGAGTTGAATTTTGATAATGTGTGAATTTTTTTTTATTTGGAGCATCTGCTCTGGTGTGGCCTGTCCTGGCAGTGACCCTCGTGTTCCTGCCTTTCAGATCTCTACGTGTATGCTGTGCTCGTGTGCTGTGTGGGGATTCTCAGTGTTCTGCTCTTCACCCTAACCATCATCTGGCAGTCTGTCTTTAGCAAGAGGAAATCCAGAGGTAAGAGAATGGATAAAGTCATGTCTGGAGTGAGAGCACAAGCAAACCACAGACAGACAGAAGATGGCTGGGCAAAGTATCACTTTGGTTGAAAAACGCATCCTGAGTCAGGGGTTATTTACCTGTGACTGGCAAGCAAAGTAAGTGGGGGAGGTATGTCTCCCTTAGACTCTGCTAAAATCAACTGTAACCACTGTTGACATCATTGCACTTCCCCCCTTTTCTTAAAGCCCTTCCTTCTGTGGTTTCTGAGCGCCCTCACCTCTCTCTTCCTCCCAGAAGAGGCTGTGGGGGCAGATGACCCTGGGTTTGATTCTGGTTCTGCTACTTAAGACTGGGTTTTTAGACACATTCCTAATGCACTCTGAACTTTGGCTTTCTTATTTATTAAATGACATGGGATGGACACCATCTTCTTTAGACTGAATATTGCTGTGTGTTCTTAATTTAATTACGGCATCGGCGCTGTGTCTGGCAGGGATTAGAAAGGCTTCCCTTCCCTCCTGTCCAGTCTGAGCGTTCACTTCCTTCTGCCTCCTTCCTTGTTGCTGTCCATGTCCCCTGGATTCTGTCTTCAGCCCCTTCCTGCTTTAATCTTTCTCCTTTAGTGATTGCAGTAATTGTGGCTCTGACTCTAATCTCCCTAAGAATACTGCCTGCTTTCTCTCTCTAGCCCCCTCCTCTCACCAAGCCTCCATGACACGTTTCTACCAGCTCCTGTGTGTTTCCTCTGAAATACCCTTCCTGTGCCCTCCCACTTAGGAATTTCTGAAATAGATGGGGACACTGCAGCTCCCAGAGATGACCTGGGTAACAGCGGGGCTTTGGAATTAAAATAACTCCAGTTCAGTGACAACTCTTCACTTCCTATCTGATGTCTTCCCTCCCATGCCTCACCTCCATCTAAATAGTGAGGAGTACAGTAGTATATCAGTCTCATAGCATTGTTGTGAGGATTAAGTTAAAAAAACCACAAATGAAACCCTTAACACATTCTGGTTCCCTGTAAGTATCCTGTATTTATGATGACATGTGGGTATAGTTATTAATATATATAATAATGATTACTATTAGCCTAAGTTCGTAAAGCTGGCAAGTATTACATTTGGTGCTCATGGCTTAAGGGGAAACTAAAGGGACACCGAGCAGCATTTCTAGAGGGGATTCTCTGCAGAGGTGCAGGCAGGGCTAAGCGAACCAGGGAGAGACGGAGAGGGAGGCCCTCGGGGACCAACACCCATGGGATGTTGTTTCTACCCTGGACCTTAGGGGACAAGAGAAGGAGAGGTTCTGGAATTTGTGAGAGCTGCAGCTTTCAGAGAGTTGTCACTGCTAGGAGCCTTAGAAGAAGGATTCAGCCAGGCCAAACCAGGCGGGAGCAGGGAGTGAGCCAGGAGCCTGTACTCCTCAGCCCCTCCCTGCCCTCCTCCTTTACACGTCCCAGGGATGCTTTCCTTTGGTCCTGCCACCCAGACCTGAAGCCAGAGGGAAGTGCATAGAGGTCAGCCTCCAGGGCCTGAGTAGAGTGGAGAAGAGTGATGATGACCCGGACGGGAGCACAGAGCCCCGAAGCACCAGAGACAGAGCCAGACGTCTTCCGTAGCCCGCGCGCTGCCCACCGTGCTTGGTGTGAAGGTTCTGCGCCCCAGGTGCCCCCCTCCATGGCTCTGCCCACCTTCTCCACGGTGTCCAAGCTTTTCTCCTGTTGCAAACCCTTGATGACTTTGATGAGCTCATGGTGCATGTTGCACATGTGCAAATGTATTTGCCTCCCTCCAGGCGGATAGCGTGCAAGGCAGGGACCATGCCTCTGACCCATTCTCCTTGGAATTAGGCAGATGACAGCTGTTCACCAAATGGTGGGCAAGTGGCTTTGTCTCCCAGCTGCTTTGCTCCCAGCTGCTGGAGTTCGGATGCCACATGGGCAGTCCCCAAGCCTGTTTTGCTGTAAAGGCATCTGTTCCTGGGCTCAGGGGCGTAATGGAGAAATCTGCCTGGAGCTGCAAGTCCTGGTAGGCTGTGGGCAGGAGCCATAGGTAGTTCAATAGAAGTCCTTCTTTTCCAGAGTCAACAAGCCAGACCAGGACACATACTCCAGGCCTCTCAAAGAGCCACTGGGGACCCAGGGCTAAGCTGCCCTCAACCCCCTGGGAGTGGGCCCAGATGGCCTCGTGTGTACCTGCACACAGCGTCTGAAACCCTGTGAGCTGTCAAGGGCTTGGCCTGAATACCCACTGCAGGCTAGACCCCTTGTTGATCCCTCCACATTCTCACGAATCCTTACTGCCAGCCCAAACAATTGCCTTTGTTGCTCCCTTTTGACCAAGGACACAGCTGGGGAGCTTGTCCAAGTCCCCAAACAAGGGAGTGGTAGAGCCCAAGCCCAGTCCCATCCTCGGCCTTTGTGTTTCTGTTCAAGAAAACCTCAGCCATCTGGGGACTGACCTTGCCAAGGAATTTTCCTTCAGCCTTCCATGCGGTTGTTGCTGAGGTCCTTCCTAGACAGCAACTCATAGCTCCCGCAGCAACTTGGAGCTTGGCATCGGTCTGGTACAACTGCCACCTGCAGGCTGGCATCCTGTAACCCAGGTAAGACCATGTCCAGGCTGGGGTTAGCCCTCACCTGGACATGGTAGCCTTAGAGCAGATTGGCCAAACCTTCAGGGACAGACCTCAGAGGCCTTAACACTGCTACAGGGACTGGCAGGATGGGGGCATGGCTACCTCCATCCCTAATTACTCGTGACAGACACAGGCCCATGGGGGATGATGGCCTTCAGCCTGGATGTGTCATTTGGGACCCTTAGCCATGCAGTGGGTATTGTGTGGCCTGAGCTGAGGAGGCAGAGAAAGGTGGCCAGAACCTCAGTCTCCCAGGTATCTTCCTGTTAGAAGAGGTAAGAGAAACAGCCCTTCCTTTTAGAGTCCTCAGAGTCCGGAAGATCACAAGTTCCCATTTAAAAGCACCACATCCTGAATTTCTGCTTCTATGCACAGGGGTTGCCTTGTCTGGCACCAGAGAGCCTTTGAATCAAGAGCCCTCGGTACTAAGCTATGACCCATGGTGGAGACTGGCTCCAGAACCACCCTTTATTGTTTTTCCTCTCTTTCTGGTCTCACTTCCTCACTTGCCAGTGGGTTTCCCAGGATTCCTTCCCACATAGACTCTGCACTTGAATCCTGGTCTTATAGACAGACTCTGCTTCTGGGGACCCCTAGCTAAGACAGGTGATGCAGTTATGTCATCAGCAATGATTATGCTATGCATGTTTAAGGGAGATTCCAAGCGAGGTCTAGTTATATTTTTCTGTAAAATAGTATGTGTATAAAATTTTGCATGAAGGTTTTAAAAATGTCCTTATTCCACAAGTCTGTAGGTGTTAAACTTTTTTCTGGATTGAGTTCTCAGTAAATACTGCATGGTTAGTAAAGATTTAGAAAATAAATATAAAACTAATCAAAACCACATAAATATATTATAAGTTTAGATAAATAATAATCACAAGAAGTAAAATGTTATTGGAAATGAATTTTTATTTTTACTTCATGTAGCCTTGTATGTATTTACTTAGTAATAGAATTCAGCATCGTTTCTATTCCTATATTTTTAATAGATGTTAGCTCTGCAAAATCTCAGTATGAAAAGAGGCGGGAATGGATGAAGTTTCCTTACACTATTCAATACTTTAAACTGCTTTCAAGTTATATGTCAAAAGTCATAATGATCTATCATGGAAAATGATTTTAATTCTCTACCAGCTGACGACTGGATTAGCTCATATTTCAATGCTTGTTGAAAGCAAAATATTGGAAATCTCTCCTCTAGTGAAAAGTTTATGTGCCCAGTCATCAGTCATTCACTTTTTCAACACTGACACCAATAGTCCAAATCATTTACTGATTCATTGAGGCCATTGATGTGCCCACTGGCTTTTAGCCCCAGGACAGGTCTCTGTAGTACAAGTCAGCATGGGTGAAAGGAATGCCTTGATTTTATGAAGTAGAAAGGCTCATTTAACAGGGAGGGAGGGAAAGGAATACAGCTAGACCTAGGGCAAGTTCCAAGGGAATTAATTCTAAGGAAAGAATAACATGGGAGGTGAGGATCCAGAAAATGATGTCCTTAAAACTGTTCTTTCCAGGGGTATGCAAGCCCCAGACTAAAGACCACTGACCCATATAGTAAGCTTAGGATAGTGCCAGGAAGACATGGTGAGTTCAATAAATATGAACTATGATTTTATTATTATTGCAACTATAAATTATCCAGCAAATAGTAGGTATTTAGTAAACACAATAAGAGTTCAGTTACTAACAAGGGGTTGGATCAGATAAACCAAGAAAACTCCCAAAAGCTGAGATTCTGTCATCCTGGTCTGGAGCCTGCCTTGGTCACCTCCATCACAGATCACTTCAAGTGTAGGAACTTGAAACAACTGTTTTATTTGCAGATCAGAAAGGTGAACTGGACTCAGATGAGCAGTTCTTCTGGCCTCAACTGGATCACTTATGCAGCTTCAGCCTGCTGGTGGGGCAGTTGGGGCCTGGCTGCTTTGGGGCCTCAACTGGGATGTCTTATGTCTGTTCCGTGTGGTCTCATCTTCCAGTAGGCTAGCCAGGCTTGTTTGTGTGGTGACAGAAGAGTTCCCTGCAATGAGAGAGAGAAAGAGAGGGCACGAGCCTCAAAGCACAGGGCCTTTTATGCTTCCGCTTGTGATTCTTTGGCTAATGTTTCATTGGCCAAAGCTCATCACATGGCCAAGCTTGGTGTCAGTGTAGGAGGGAGTCACGTAAGGATGTGGAGAGATAGAATATATTAATGTGTGATTCGTTGGGGCCATTGATGTAACACTCTACTACACAACTCCAGGGCCCTGTGGTTGTTTCAGCTTTACTTCTATTTGAGGTGAGTTCAACAGTGAGCTTAGACTGGACACTTATTAGGATAACTGCCTAGGTATTCTTATTTTCCCTCTGCAGCTAGAATTTTTTTTTTTTTTCTTTTTCTGAAGGCTACCTACTATGAAGAATGTCATTGCAAAAAAAAAAAAAAAAAAGACTGTCTTTCCCACTTTCCCAGGGCTTCCTTTCAGTCCTGGAAGAGCTTTGATCATAGAATGAAAACCCACTTTATAGAGAGGAACATCTAAGTGGAAACAAGTTGCCCTGAGAACGCTTTCTCCCAACTAAGGCAGAGCTCTGAGATTGGGTGACTCTGTCATTCCAGGACTCTTCAGGTTAGAATCCAACTCAACCTGACTTGCCAAAAAAAACAACAGAATATTGAGGGCTATGTAACCAAGAAGTCTGAGGTTTACGGCTTCATGCCTGGCTTGATCCAGGTGTTGAACGATATCAAGTCACTGTGGGGTCCTTGCTATGAGTCTACTGTCCTCATCCAAAGATAACCTGGAGAGGTGGTTAGTGCAAACACTGGACAACACCTGGCCACCTACATTTCCTAGTAATTCCTGGGGCATGTATATCTAAGGTAGTATTTATTTACCGTCTTCTATTTCTTTTTCCTTTCACAGTGAGACACTATTTGGTGAAATGCCCTCAGAACAGGTAGGAATATTTTCTTCCTTTTTCCATGTGAAATCTTTGCTATTTTACTTTCTTTTGATATTACCAAGAAATTGGTTGAACTCATATCTTTATCTTAAGGTCTGCTTATTAGTTTACAGATTGACCTAAAAACATGTATTCTGCATGCACTTGCATGTTCCCAGATTTCATATTCTGCTTCTCACTCCCAGAGGGGCCAGTGAACATGTGACTCATGCTGGCCCAATGTGCATGCTGGAGGAGGCTTGGCACCTGCTCCTGGCGGACTGTTCCCCTGTGTAGGAAGGGACTGGCAGATGGACTGAACCACCTTGATGCCTTCTGACCACAAACACTCCTGATCCACTTCCACCAATGCCTACTTGTTCTATGCCTTACTCTACAGAATGTGTCCATTAGTGACAGGCATGCTAAGAGGCTAGCCTTTTAGCTGATGGGACACACCTTGCAGGTAACAATAGTTATAGTAGATATTGCAAACCCAAGAGTATTTAGAAATTTGAGACTTTTTTTCCAGACAGGATGGGTAAGATCAATTTCTCCCTGCTCTTCTTCCCTGCCAATAAGCATAACTATCAATTCTGGAAATAATATAAGAGACCAACAAAGGAGGACTCTGAAAGGTAGTAAGAAGAAAATTATGAAAGACAAAGGCAAAGAAAAAAAATCTTAAAAACAACCAAAGAGAAACAATTTATTACCTATGGGGAAACACATATTTGAATGACAGTGCATTTTTTTATCTAAATCCATGGAGGGCCGAAAGAAGCAGCACAGTTTTCTATACAAACAGTAACAAGAGAGGTGGTAGTTAATATCAAATAAGATATCATGTAAGACAAGAAATATTGCTAAAGATGAAGAAGGAAGTTTTTTTATTTATAAAAGATCAACTCATCAGGATGATATGACACATTACATGGGCTTAACTACAGAGCCTCAACATACGTGAAGCAAAAAACAGAAAATTGAAAGATTTTCAATTATTCTAGAACAACAGCTGGAAGTTTCAATGCTCCACTCTCAGAAATTGATGAGTACCTAGACAGAAAATCAACCAGGACACACAAGATGAAACAATTTTACCTGACAAGTAAGAATAATTTGCTCAGTGACTGCACAATATATTCTTCTCAAGTGTATTAGGAACATTCTCCAGGATAGACCATATACTAGGTCATAAAACATATCTTTATAAAATTAGGTATTTTATTTATGTAAGAATCATACCAAGTCTGTCCTCTGACCACAACAGAATTAAATAGAAATCAGTGACAGAAAGAAATCTGGGGAATTCCTCAATGTTTTGAAAGTTTAATCAACATACTTTTAAATACTGTATGGGTCAAAGAATTCAAAAGAGAAATTAGAAAATATTTTGAATTAAATAAAAATGAAAACAGCATATCGAAATTTATAGGATGCAGCTAAAATAATGCTTACATAAAAATTTATGGCCTTTAAATGCCTAGATCAGAAAAGAAGAAAGGTCTAAAATCAATACGTTAAGCTTTCACCATAAGAAACTAGAAAAAGAAGTGTGAGTGAAATCAGAAGTAAGAAGACCATAGTAGAGATTAGTACAGAAATCAATAGCATGGAAAACACATGTGTACATGTGCACACACACACACACAGACACACACACACAAAGAGAAATATCAGTGAAATCAAAAGTTGGTTCTTTGTAAAGACCAGTTGACCTGACAAACCTTAAGTTAGATTGTCCATGAAAATAAAAAAGAGAGAAAGAAAAAAACCAATTACCAAAATTAGGAAGGAGAAAAGGAATTCCTACAAACCGTATAAAAATTAAAAGGTTATAATCCTCATAATCCCAAGATATTCTAACAAATTAGACAACATAGATGAAATGGAAAAATTCCTAGGAAAGAAAAAATTTTCCAAAACTGATTCAAAAATAAAGCTATAATCTGAATAAGCTGTAGTAAGTCAAGAAATTAAATTGTTAGCAAAACACTAAGAAACTAGTAAATATAATATTAATAAAAAGGAGTAGATTCACAGATATAGAGAACAAACTGGTGGTAATCAGTGTGGAGAGGGAAAGGAGGAGGGACAGGATAGGGGTAAAGGATTAAAAGGTACAAACTGTTATGTATAAAATAACTATACTACAAGGATATATGGTACAACACAGGGGTATAACCAATATTTTTTTCCAATATTTTATAATAAGTATAAATGGAATATAACCTTAAAAAATGTGTATCACTATGTCATATGCCTGAAAGTTGGTATTGTACAGCAACTGTACCTCAATTTTAAAAATGAGCAAAAAGATTTGAATAGATAGATATATATCTTCCCTAAAGAAGATATATAAATGACTAACAAGTTCATGAAAATGTGTTCCATATCATTAGTATTAAAGAAGTGTCATTAAAACCATAATGTCATGCCACTAAACACCCACTACAATGGCTGTGATAAAAATGACAATGTCAAGTGTTGGCCGGGATGTGGTGAAACTGTATCTTGCTGGTGAGCATGTAAAATGGTGTAGCCACTTTGGAAAGACAATTTGGTGATTTCTTAAAACAGTAGACATAGGCTCAACCATATTCACTATTATTTATTTGGCAAGAGGAAACTTTTGTAGGGTGACAGAGATGTTCTAAACCTGTATTGTGGCAATGGTTGTACAACTTTATAAATCTACTAAAGCTATTGGATTGTATGCTTATGATCAGTGAATTTTATGGGGAGTAAATTATGCCTCAGGAAAAAAATTTTTGTTTTGAAGCATATGCCCTGAAAAGGCTCTAAGTATTAGCATTTCAAATACTGAAAGAGGTTATGGCTCAGGGGTCATCATAGGCTGTGGAGAGGTCAGCTTGCCAGTGTTTCTCAGAATTTGCATCTAGCACCTAGCCTTAAATCCTTAGCAAGCAGTGCGGGAGTCTAGGCCCTGCTTCCTTCCCTTCCCTTGTTTTCCCCCTCAGTTGCATCTATTCCTTGCTGGTGCTGATGCTGTAAATACAGTGAGGATGTCACCCCAGCCCAGCGGGCATTAGAGTTTGGTCTCCCCTCAGTCCTGCAAAGCCTGCCAGAGGTCAGAGATGAGCACACAGTCCCGCTTAAGTGCTGCCGCCTTGACCTGCTGGTTGTCAGCGAGACTGGTTGGGTGCCTGAGCTAAGCTCGTCCCACGACCTGTCTCCTGTTGGGCCAGCCCACAGATCTGCCTCAGGAGAACCTGCCTCTACTCACTGTGCCCCAGGACTCTGCCCACTGAAACCTGGGTGCCCTCCTGACCTGCACTCATCTTTCTGTTCAGAGCCTCATGCTGATTTGACTTAGTGCAGGCTGATCTCTGCCACGGGGCCTCTCTTGTGAACTGGTCAGTCCTTGCCGTTTTAACTGGCCTTGACCTGAATTGTGCTCTGCCTCTGTAGCCCAGGCCTTTCTTTTTCCTGTCCCTGTTGTGCCAGGGAGCTCCCACCTCTGGGCTGCATCGTCAGCGCTATGGCAGTGGGCAGCTGGGCCCCTCAAGCCATGATTGGGATGAATGTCTGTCTGTGTCCTCTGACCACTTCCTCCTAAGGGAGAATGGGCAGAGAGCACAGGACCAGGGCAAGTTGCCAGGAATGAAAACCCTCGGGCAGGGGAGGGCCCCTCAGGAAGACGCCACATTCTGGCCCTGAGGCTGTGGTCACTGAGAGAGGGGCCTTGCCAAGCGATTGGGGCAGAACTTGGGGACTCTAGGGAATTCTTTGACTTTTTGAGAGAAGTTCAAACAGGAGGAAAACAAATCTTATCTTCATGTGCGCCGGCCCTGAAGTCGGAAACTGCTGTCTCCTGGGAGGGTGGCCTTGACCTGCGGAGCCGGAGGACCGCTCCTTTCCCATGGCGGATCGCCCTCTCCCGGAGCAGACACTTGGACCTTAGCGAGCATCTCAGGGCTCTGCAAGACTTTAACTATCCGGAGAAGCTCAATTGACCACTGTGAAACTGTACCCCGAAGTTCCAGAAAATCAGATTGTAAATGAAAGGCCGCCGGTTTCATAGATTCGTAATGTGTTCCCACACCAAGCCTCCTCAGCGCACTCAGGTGCCTTTCTTCAAGTTCAGTAAAGTTGTCAAGAGGGTGGACGGGGGCACAAAAAGGCAGTTCCCGGCCAGTGCACTTCCTGACGTTTTGCCCGAACTCGTCTTATGCCCTTGAGATAATAAAGTATCTCCAAGTGGGAGAAATTAAGATGGGCATTATGTTATCTGTGCCGATAGCAGTTACAGCTGAAGTCTTCCAAGCTTTCTTCATGTTTTCGGTGCATACACTTTCTCAAGGATAGATAGTCAGGTCAACAGACTCTTTACATATTAGATAAATTACGGGCACAGCTTTACTGTGTTTTGTGAACTTAGTTTAAAGCATTTTGCAGTCTCTTCTGAAACATCAGAGATTTATAAACATTTTAAAACATACCTCACAATCGAAGTATGGGATTTAGTAAGTGATTTGTTTAGGGTCTTAGAGAAAAGGCAGAGATGTGATTTCAAAGAGAATATAAAGATATGTGCTCCAAACTGAGGTACGTGACTACTTGCTTCGTGTGTATTGAAGCAAGTTGAAGCATAGTGAATAGGAGCAGTGTTACAAAACATTTATTCCTTCTGTGAAGGGCAGTCTGCTGTGATGGTTAAAGATTCTGTGGCCAGGCTGCCTCAGTTCACATGCCAGCTCTGCCATAGATTGCTGTGTGCCTTTAGCTAATTTTTCAACCTCTCTGATAAAATGAGAGCAATCATAGCTCTAGCATGTAAGGAGTTGGGAGGATTTCATGAGTTAGTCTGTATAAAGTGCTTCCAACAGGTAAATGGTGAGCCCTATGCAAATAGTTCTGTTATTATTCAGTTAATACTTGTGAGTGTTTCTTCTGTAGGCTTGTAAGACCCACTGAGTGAGGATGAAATAACACCAGCCCACACCTTGAGGTCTGGGAGACCTAGAGAAATAAGACGGTGGCAGAAGCCGTGG